TACACTGCTGAGGGGAGCAGCGGGCGGGTCAGGAGAGGTCTGCCACACCATGTGGTCTCCGGGGCAGGCGGGAATCGAACTCATGTGGAAGCGGCTTTAGATTCTCAGTGCTGTGCCTCAACCCGCTGCGCCACCAGGGAGGGCCCCAAGCATTTTTTTTTTAATTTTTGTATTTGATGACAGTTGATTTAGAAGTATTATGATACAAGGGTCTGCCCTAGAGATTTGCAATCCTTGAAATTGTTCTAAGAGACCCTTTTATAATACATGGTTATATATGATATTATCTTTGGACTGGCCATGCTCCTGGACCTTTTTAAATGTAACACCATTACTCTGAATTCACCTTGTATGATTGCAGTTTCATTAATATCTGCTATGTGTAGCTATCCGTAAGGGATACTCATTACTGTACTGTGTGCCAGGGAGCATATTAAGCACAGTGGCAGAAGTCCACCGAGCCGTCATTCAACAGAGAATTTCATCACCCCTTTTGGAAGGTGACTGTCCTCTATATAAATCATCTGTAAAGTCCCGTTTTCCTGCAGTTTGATTCTAATTTTGATTTTAGTCTTAATCTTTGCCAATTAAAAATAAGTTTAATTACTTTAGTTATTGGAGCAATTTCTCATTCAAAGTCAACTAAAAAAAAAGTGAAATTTTATGTGGTCAGAATCTTCCTAGATTTCATTAAAATGCATACTTGTATCTTTTTGGAAGGTGTAGTACCTCCTGTCCTGAACGTCATTATATATTCTTTTTTCTGTTCAAACTCATGATAAACTTTCCAAAATTAAATATGCTTTCCAATTTTAATCATTGTGATAAAGCATCTTTTGGAGATTGTCCTTAGAGACAACTATATAATTCTTACATATTTTGTCAGTGCTGACTATACATTGTCCAATGTAATTCTACTCTGAAGATTATTTTAGTTTAATGTAAAGGTCACTGAAATTTCCAATAACTCACATTGTATATCTATGGAATACATGACATTCAAGTACCTGTAGCAACATTTAAATATATCTGTGTTTGATGTGTCTCTTTAGCTCACTAGCCATAGCTTTCTCTTTTTTTCAAGATTTATTTATTTATGCATACAAGAACCTGAGTACAGGCCAGAGTGTGGAGTATGAGAGGATTCACCAGTGACAGAGTAGGGAACACAACAAGCTGATCTACTGAAGTGAACTGCTTAAGGGAGAAGAGGGCTGGACAGGAGAGGTCTGCTGGACATGTGGGTCACCTCCCTGGTTTGGGTTCTACTTCATGCTTAGTGTCTGCGTGTAGCTTCAGAGTGCTGAGACTAAATCCCTTATGCCACCATGGAGGCCCGAGCCATAGCTTTCGTTATCCATGTTATAGTAGGTGTCTTTTAAATAGTAGAGCTATTCTAATTCTGTATCCAGATCAGTCACCAAATATGACTGCTTATTCTCTTTATCTGCTATCTTTGTTTAAAAAAAAAACCACACACACAGTGTTAACTGTGTTAACAGTGTATTTTTATTGGAAAAATAACAAATAGAAAAGAGAAAATCATTACCATTCTCTTTAATAATCTCCTGGCAAATAAAACTCCATCCCAAAAGATAATACTTTAAATAAGACAAAGCAAATTTTGACCGCCCTGTTTGCTCGTATCAATTCATAGACTACATTAAAAAGATATCTGAAGTGGACACCTACACACACCCTGGCATGATTTTCCTTGTAAGCTGTCTAAATTCCTCATTGAGAAACTCAATTTGGACACTTTTCCAGGAGCTATCAGAGGCTGTTTATGGAATTGAAACCTAGCCAAGATTCTTTAAAAAACCCACTTATTATTTACTTGTCTCATTTTATTAAAGCTAACATGTTTAAGAGGAAAGCCTTCACTAGGTATAGAAGGAGTAAACTGGCATACTGAAGACTGTATATGACAAATTCACATTAACATAATTCTCAGTGGTGGAAAGGTGAGAATTATGACTCTAAGATCTGGGTTAAAGATATCCATTATTCTACTTTTTTTCAACGTCTGCATGAACCTCTAGTCAGAGAATTTTGGCAAGAAAAATAGCACACACAGGAGAGGAAAGAAGGGAAGGAACAGGGAAAGGAAAGGAAGAGGGGGGAGGAAGGAGGCCAGAGAAGGGAGAGGGGAGGAAAAAGGAAAGGAAGGGAAGGGAAGGGAAGAGGAGAGGAAAGGGGAGGGCAGGGAGAGACCGGAAGGTAAGGGGAGGAGAGGGAAGGAATGGAGAGGGAGAACATTGTTTCTAATTCCAGATGTATATTCTGTTTCTAATATAATACACATAGAAAACAAAGACTCCACTGAAGTACTGTAAGAATTAACAACATCAGTAAAATTCAAGGGTACAAAATTAATTTGCAGAAATTTGTTTTATATTCATGCACTAACAAAATTAGGCAGAATATTAACATTGATATTAAGCTTAGCAATGATTTTTAGAGAAGATATCAGAAACACAGGAAGACTTTTATACAGTGAAGAGATCACCAACAAAATTTAAAAGGCAGCTTAATATGGTGAGAAAAATCATTGCAAACTCAAATGTTAATAACCACTACATAAAGAGTTCACAACTCATTACTATAACAGATAAGTCAATGTGACAAAAATTAAAAACTGGCCAAGGAACTGAAGAGACATTTTTGAAAGAAGGCAAATATGACCAACAGGTGCCTGTAAAGAGCTTCAAGCTCACCAGGTAATGATCATGGAGTGCAAATCAAAACCACAATGATATATCACCTATCACTCTTAGACTATTTAAAGAAAAGAGATAAAGAGATAAGAATTTTGTAGAAGGTGTGGAACAAAGGATTGCCCTATGCTTGTTGATGGGAATATCATTTTGTACAACCGTGTGGAAAACTCAGAAAGTAAATAGAACTACTGAAGAAAGCAACAATACCACTTCTGGGTATATGTCTGAAGGCTATACAAAAAGATTTGTGTCCAATGTGTATCACAGTATTATTTATAATAACCAAGGTATGGAAACATCCTCTCTGTCAAGAAATGAATGGATGGAAATTGTGATGTTTTTACACCGTGGAATATTATTTAGCCCTGAGAAAGAAAAAAAGTATGCCAATGATGACAATATGAATAAAGTTTGGGCCATTATGGTAAGTAAATAAGCTAGCTAGAAATAAAATGAGCATATTATAATTTACATGTAGACTTTAAAAACAGATAAAACTCAAAGAAGGAATGTAGACTTGTGAGTGCTGGGAACTAGGGATAGAGGAAAAAGGGAAAGATTGCTTTAAGATTGCAACCCTTTAAACATGAATAAGAGGAGGATATATTATGTAAATTGCTGTATATAGTAGCTATATATATTTAAAATTTGCTGAGGGTAGAATTTGTGTCTTTAAAAAGAAAAAACCATCAACGTGTGATATAGTGTGTATGCCAACTAACACAAGGAACTTTCCTCACAATGTACATGCATATGAATTCACTATGATCCATATTTTAAATATTTTGCAACTTTATACTTCAGTCATAACTCAATGAAGTTGAAGAAATAGGATGAGATTGAATAGAACTTTTGCCTTATAGACCTTATGAGAGGTGGCCTAATAGAGATACTTTTGCAATGAAAACAGTACAGTTAACCCTTAATATAACAGTCCTATTTCCTGACAGTTAGATGGTAGGCAAACAGGATGTCTTTAAGATCGTAAAATAATTCAGTAAAAGGCATTTTTAAAATTATGTTTTTATGCATATGATATCAATTTAAAACATTTCCCTTTACAGGAAATATCCTCATGCTAACAAACTTCTTTTCAAATTTATATTATGGTGTGTTTCAGGTGCAAGTAGCAAAAATAGTTTGGTCTTTATATCTATGTAGAATTTATGGTCTCTGTTTTTAGTAGTCTACTTTTCTCTGGGCTCATTTGTTAGACTGCTCTGATGTGGGGAATCAGGACTGGCAATGGTACTTAACCAAGATTTTGTACAAATGTGGTGTGTGTGGTCACAAACACCTGCTCAATTAATCTATGCAAGCCCTTTTTGTCCTGAGATAGCAAACCATGGATCTCAAGTCAGAAGATGTTTAATGGTAGAATTAGAACAAAGTAAATCTTGGGTTTGGCTAAAAATATTGTGAATATCAGATAACATAATGGGGATTCCTTTACATGTAACAAATTATTTTCCTCTTGGTATAAGATTCTCTCCTTGTCTTTAACATTTGATGCATTAAAGACGTATAGTAAGTTCATTTCATTTCATTTCATTTCATTTCATGTTAGAAAACCTAAAATGTTCCCCAAGAAGATCAATATCAGGAATTTTTATGGGACAAGTAGAGGAAGATAAGTCAGGTGCTTGAGATTAATGCATTGATTAGTATTAGCAAGCTTCACTAATTACTGGTTGTTGATTATTTGTAATTGTCAACTTATACTGGCTAGATGTCTTTATTTCATTTCAAGGACACAGATAATGCAATTACTCCCACCTTAGGAATTGCTTCACAGATGTCAATATTTGCACTGCTTACGTACATGTCATTGATACCTTTGTAGTTTTTGTTCTCTCATTTGAACATATTCCTTTATTTCTCCCTTTTTCTTAATTCTCTGTGTTGGTTTCTATGCATTAGATGAAACAACTACCTCTTACTGTCTTTTGGGAATGACCCTCGGTTTCAGATTTTCCCTCAAAGTTTTGTGATTATCAAAGCAGTTCTTTTTATTTTTAATGTTCCTTGAAATAGTGATTTTGTGCCAAGATTTGTGAATGTCTCTAAAGGAGGCGATCTCATATGGCACCTAAATTCTGGTTGACTAGCTATCACACACTCAAGAGAAAGTTTAAAAAAATGCAATTAAATCTCTTTTATGGGATAACTAGATGATGGGGTTTCTCTAACCTCCATTTGTTTTGAACCTTAGTGTGATTATTAAATATGTTGTTTATTGTCCCATCTGTGAGACACATCAGCCTTAGGACTCAGAGATAACTATTCTCTTTTGTCCTTTCCTGTTTTGACAATCTTCCGGCAACAAAACAGACAACATCTTGCAGTGACATACACTACAGTTGCCACACAGGCCAGCAGGAACCCAATCACATCCAGGGAATGGAGCTGGGCCCAGGTGAGGTCATGGGAGGCCGGCCGCAGGTGCTTGGCCCCTTTATTGCGCATGACAAACTCGATCCAGAAGATAGCTCGATCCAGAGGCTTCATTGGCTGATCGCGCTGTATCCTTGATAATTTCATGATATTCTCTTTGTATCTGGAGAGAAAAAAGAAATGTATAGATACTGGAAGGAAGCTAATTTGCCTAAGCCTATCATTTTCTGAACATTTTTTAAAAGGTCATACACATGATTCAAAATTAATATAATAGATATGGATATGGAGATAAAATATAAGGTAGACATTAAGACTTTTCTAGCAGATGAAATGTTATGGTTTAAAGTAGAAATTGTAAATGATACTCACGAAACATATATAGAAGTTTATGTCATAATCGTGATTTCACATCAATAGTGATTTCACTCTTGTCCCCTCTATACTTTCCATTTTGTCATTGGAATAATTTCTGAAATAGGCTTCATATTATGTCATTCTCTCTTCAGCATTTCCTTTTGACTTCAACATTTCCTTTTGACAGTTATGGTGTTTGGACTATAGTATTTTGCATGTTCATACCAAATGATTTATTTCATTACTTTGTTTCATGCACACTGTGAGTAGACAGGTTGGTTTTCTGACTGTTCACTAAAATTACCTAAATTACGGTAGCCCGGTAGCCCCTGTGACCTCCTCCCAGACCTCTCTTTTAGTAACACCCGAAGGATTGTCTCTACTTTTTGTTGAGATCTCAGCTACCTCCTAACGTATTCAAAGAGCTTTTGCTGGCCTCATTGTAAGAGCGCTGCTATTCCTTTATTTATTTGTATTTATTGCACTACTTGTCCCTAGAATTTCAACATACATTATATTTTAAGTCATAAACATTTAAGGATAGCTATATTATAGAATGATATGATTAGTCAAAAAATCAAGAGTGACATTGCATGAAAGTAAAATATCTTATGGTAAGAGAAAAAAGCAATTGTAATACATTATTTGAAATAAATCTGATTATGTGAAAATTCAGATTAGGGCAACTTATAGACACAGAAAATAGCATAATTTTCTGTGCATAAAAAGAGAGGCATAGAGACTGACTTCAAAGTTACTTAACAATTTTTTTAGGTATGTTGATAGATTCTGTACTTGCAGTATACTGATGGTATAATAACTAATATACTATGTTTACTTGAAATTTATATGTAAGCTATTGAATTTTATTATATGTGAATTGTACCTATTTAGAAAGTCTGTTCAAATAGTAACAAAAATCATATTTTGGTCAAAAGCAGAGTTATACATTCTAAATTTTTGGGCATAGAACTAAAATAAGACTTTTCATGTTCTTTAATATTTTCCTGTGGGTTCTGTAAACATTCACAATTACCTATATAATTTTGGCATTTGCGTATGTAGAAAATTGTTGCATAATTATTCACCCACTCAAATAAGCAAGATCAAAATGAAACTTTGAAATTAATTCCTGAAAATAGAAACAGGTTTGATAGGTTATATCTTCCTAATACTTGCATAATTATTAAAATAGAGGAGAAACTCAAATTATTTAATAATAATGTTTATAAATACTACTGAGAAAAATTCTGATACTCACGAGGGGTCATTAATAACTGTCTTCAGTGCATTCAGCAAATCTGTGCTTGACATTTTTTGTAAGTCCAATATAACAGCTGTTCCCTTGACCTTCATATGCGCCATGTTATCAGGCTGGTCCGCAAACAGGGGAATGCCCACCATCGGGACGCCATGGTAGATCGCCTCAAAGATGCCACTGGCTCCCCCATGGGTAATAAAAGCCTTGGTTTTTGGATGACCTAATATTGGGTGAATTTCAAGAAATTAACTATAATTCTGAGAAATAAAATGACAGTAGAACAACTTAAGAGACTGAAAGTGGCATGTTTTCTCCAGAACAGATTATTCTTCACATAAAATTCATTATAACATTCTTATCTCAAGCACGGTTATTAAGGTTATTTTCTGTCAGCGCAACACCTTCTATTGTATTTAGCCTTTCTCTATCTCTGCTCCCTTTTTTCTTTAGAAACTTCACTGAGTATGTTAATGTCTATCAGTTTTGAAAAATTGTTGCTGTTTGCTATGTAGTCAATATTTGTCTTTGTGATTCTGACTGACTTTCCCACACACAATTCCTTAGAGATCCTCCCATTACTAAGGCCCAGCATTTGGTCTTTCCTTATGTGTGATTACTATCTCATGGTGTGGATATACCACTCTGTAATCCAGTCTCATGTCAGTGAACATCAAGATGTTACCCAGTCCAACATTTAGTAAATAATAAGCAGTAAATATTGGAGAGCATGTGATTTTTTGTTAATGGTTTCAAGTTCTTTGGAGAAATGCCATAGTGTGAGGTGGATCATAGGTTAATTCTATTTTTTTGGTTTCAAGATCAAATCAGATTGCTTTCCACAATGGTCGCACAGTTTACTTTCCTGCTAACAGTTCACAGGGCACCTGTTGCTCCACATCCTCTCACCACTTGTGTTTGGAGATCTTTTTTACCTGTACAGGTTTCAGATGACATTTCATTGTGTTTTTAACCTGACCCTTCTACATTTATTTACCTTTTATTGTGTAAAAGCTTTTTAATTTGGCATAACAGCACTTGCTTATTTTTTTTTGTTCTCTTGCTTTTAGGATTTAACCTTCAAAGACAACTTTATCACTGATGTCATGAAGCTATCAATGTTTTCTGCTTTGTACTTACAGCTAATTTTTAAATCCACTACTACAATTAATCAACTAAGTTACTGTTACTGCTCTAGTAACAATCTGTATGACATTGGCATAACAAAGGACAAATATATCAATGGGCTGGAATCAAATGTCCACAATTCAAATTGCATACATAGCAATACATAATTTATGATATAACGTAAAAAACAGCAAAAATAAATGGTCCTGGAAAAATTGAGGCACATGTAATGAATAATGTTGAATCGCTTTCTTATTCCAGGCACCAAATGTAAATTAAAGATGGTTTAAAGATCCATATATGAGATATTTAGCAGTAAAATACATAGCTGAAAGCATTGGTAATGTGTTTCATGACCCAGATAACAAAGATGATTTTGGAGACTTGACACCTGTAGTAATAACATAAAAGGAAAAGTAAAAAATTGATATCTCAAATCAAAAGGCTTTTTGTTATAAAAGAAAATAGGAGTAAATTAAAAAGATGTAGGGAAGAAAATACACACCACATAACTTGTATAGGGTTAAATTCCAAACTATAAAGATAATAATTGGTGATTTACCAATATAAGAGAAGGTTAAATATTATACATACTGAAAAACTAGCAATATTAATAAAAGAAATGATGTTTTGTTATGAAGAGGGAGGTAGAAGAAATGGGCAACATCTGGACAAATAATTCATGGAGAAAGATGTCCAAAAGGATTAAGAATAAAGGAGAAAAATATTCACTAAACTTTTAATAAAGAGGTACAGTGTAAAACCACAAGGAGATATCATCAGAAACTTGTGAGGATAGTGAACATAGAAAGATCAGCAACAGGTGCTGGAGATGATGGGGGAATAACAAATCCTACTTATGAGTAGGAATAAACTGTGCAGCCACATGAAAGCAGTATGTATTTAACTTAAAAATCAAAACCGGGCTCTCCTTGGTGGCACAATGGGTTAAAGCACCGCATTATGACACTCTCTGAAGCCACTGCAGCACGAGTTCTGTCCCCCGCCAGGGAGCTGACCCACAAAGCATGGCAGACCTCTCCTGACCCACCTGTTGCTCCCCTCAGCAGTGCATTTCAGTACATCTGCCTGTTGTGCTCCCCACTCTATCTCTTACCCACCACCACACCTTTGGTCTTGTATCCCAATTCTGTAAGCATAAATACATCTTTAAAAAAAAATTTTCAAAACCTTGGAAGTACTATATGACTCAGAAAACCCACATAAGGGCATCTATAAAAGAATATAAAACAACTCAAAATATTTAAAATAGCTAGGACATGAGGGTAAACTAAATACCTAGTGATTAAATATTGGACCAACAAGAAAGTAGCATATTCACTTTATAGAATACTTGCCATAAGAAAAGAAGAAATACTGGAAAACAAAAATGGAAAGAGTTCAAAGGAATTATATTTAAAGCAAGTCATAATGACAAAGATATTAACTGGTGATTTAGTATAAATTTGAGAAAGTAAAATATTATAAAACCTGCCAATATTAATAAAGGAAATTATGTTTTTTTGTGCTTAAGAGGGAGGTAGAGAGAGAAAAATTTAAATGGACATGAGATGTTGAGATGTTCTCAAGAGAAATAATAATTCTGTTTACAGACAACTTAGTAATATAAATAATCTCTGTTTAGTAAGGTCATTCAGTTACATTTAGATAGATCACTGGCTATTAAGCACTGTAGGAAGGCAGAACATTATTTGTGTTTTGGTGGGGGAAAGGAAAGAAATATGGTTAGAAAATATATCTCCTAGAGAAGTAATTACACATGAAATAAAGACACTTTTAATTCAGTCATAAGGGATGTGGCTATTATAATAAATGGACAAATTTTATATAGTATATTTCCCTCATAATGGAGAATTAATGCAAATGCTGGAAAATTAATGCAAAGAGCTAAATTTTACTGATATTTTTAATAATAAATGTTCAATAAATTTGTTTCCTTCTGGACTACTATGGTTGCACTTACTCTAATTTCAGTATTTTTTTTTCCCCAGTCTCTTACCAAGCAGGTCATTTTGGGGGAGCCATTTATATAGCCGAGTATTTGCTCCTAAGGTAGCTGGCTTCTTGCCATCAAATCTCCATAGAACCTGTTAGGGTAAAGGATATATCTTACTCCAATGGTAAAATTTAAATGTTATAATGTGTTTGAATTCTAACAACATTCAGAGGTTATAAACCCTAACACCATTATTACACACATATGCATTAGATGTCAAAACTGAGACATGTTAGAACACTGATAGACATATACACTTTTTTTTTATATTTACAAGTATGAAATTTTACATGTAGGGAAATGACAAATGGGATTATCAATAATTAAAAAAATTAAGACATTTTAGACATACATAATATAGTCAGAATGTGTAAGAAATCAGTAAGCTCTTTGAATTTACTTTCTGCTTTATATTAATTACTCTCATAATTCCAAAATAGCATTAAACTATTTGTTTTTAGGTGTCATGGAGTTTATTTATTTTAACTTGTTCCTTAGGTTATATTAATAAAGATTTGAATCACTTAGTTTACAAAAATATTAGGCAAAGTAATTCAGTTCTCAAGAACTGTTTACAGACAACTTAGTAATAATATAAATAATCTCTGCTTAGTAAGATCGTTCAGTTACATTTAGATAGATCACTGGCTATTAAGCACTGCAGGAAGGCAGAACATTATTTGTGTTTTAACTTTGGCAATTCATTGAGTGTAGAAAAGAAAGTTCTGTTTGCCTTATGTAAAATCAATATACTTTCATTATAGAAAATAAAAATAAAGTTATTGAAAAAAATCCAAATTGTGAGGATGGCAATTTTTTAAGTGACTATAACATATAAGCAGTGCACTGCCAAACTTAGACAACATTGATTAATCTGAGAGCCTAGCCATCACTTCTCCTAAGGGGTGGTAACAGTGCACTAAATGGTCCAGTATCAAATATAGGGAAAAAAAGGACTGACTTTGCTCCACAAACCTCCACGGCATAATTACCTTTCCTGCTTTAAGAATTTCTGCTTAATGTTATTGTAATTTAACTCCTTGCTGATAACATTTGCATTGTGTACTTGCCTTCAGAAGTCCCATAAAAAACAGCAGATGATAATGCAATTTGGTTATTTCTGTGCCTGCCCACAATACCTTTATAATGTAAACTTGCTTTTACCTTTTAAATATATTTTATTCTGATCACAATGTTAATGCCAAATTATTGTCACTTAAAAAAAACTCCACTGTACATTTTAGCACCTGCCATGTATATTTATTTTTAAGTGAGTCCAAGAAAAATAAAATAGAACTGTATGATTATTTATCCTGCAAGAAAGTTTTGTTTACAAAAATGCACATAAATGGCGGTTGTTCACATGACGTGACTTTCTCTAACCTTTTGTGGAATCTGGGCAAGGGCCGATGCAATCACATTGGCTCTCTCTTCTGGCATGTTACTGACCATTGAGCCCAGAGAAAACACCACAATACCATTGTCTCCAGAGCTCTGTGCAAACTCTTCCATTTCCTGTATAGAAAGAATTTGTTCATCATAAAACAAACAACAGCATAGTGAACTCTACTAAATGATTGCATAGACAACTGTAGAGTTCAACTATAACTGGAAATTATTCTAACATATGCTAAAACATTATGCACCCTTCAAATATTGTGGTAAAATTTATATAATGTGGCCCTCCCTGGTAGCGCAGCAGGTTAAAGCACAGCACTAAGAAGCTAACGCCACTTCCGCATGAGTTGATTCCCGCCTGCCCTGGAGGTGACCACATGGTGTGGCAGACCTCTTCTGACCCACTCGCTGCTCCCCTCAGCAGTGTACTTTGTCAGTCTGCCTGCTTGGCTCCCCACTCTGTCTCTGCTGAAGCCTCTCGCCGCCCCTGAGCCTCTGGTCTGTACCCCAATTCTGTATGCACAAATAAATAAATCTTAAAAAAAAATCATATAATGTAACTTTTACTATTCCAATAATTTCTACATGTATATATCAGTGGTGCTAAGTAAATTCTCTTTGTGTTAAGAACTGTTTCATCTTGCAAAACTGGATTTCTACAATCATAAACATCAGTTCTCCACTTCTTCACTAGTCTGCAACCAACGATCATTCTACTACCAGTTTCTACTGGTAGTAGTAGAGTTTGGCTATTTTAGATACATTTTTTAGTTGGAAACATACAGTATTTGTCCTTTTGCGCCTGGCCCATTTCAGTTAGCAGTATCCTTAATTTCATCATATTTTACCTGCATTAGAACATCCTACTTTAAAACTGAATAACTAATAGTGTATCTATATCACATTGTATTTATTGATTCATCCATTGATTCAAACTGGTTGCTTCCAGCTTATGATTCTTGAGTATGGTTGTCATGAAGATGTGTGTGCAAATATTTCAAGTTACCTATTTTAATTCATTTCGATATAAATCTGTAAGTAGAATTACTGGAATGTTGACTAGTCATATTTATGATTTTATGAGGTCTGTTGTGATTTTATTGAATATAAATGAAATAAAGCAGAACTAATATGAGGTACTAAAAATGACCATGTAGTCTTAGGCCGTGTATTCCAAACTCTTCATTTAACTGTTGTAATTCCTCAGAAATCCTTACAGGAGAACAACAGGAGTATCATACTCATTTTTAACTGTAGATCATTATATATCTAGTAAATCAATTTTGCTTTCTGGAGAATTATTTTAGGTTAGTCATTAGTATTTTATTTTCCTGAGTAACAGTAGTAAGATAAGGTTATTTATGTAAAATACGTTTGACTAAAAATATTGTGGAGATGCACATTGTTATTATTGAGGAGTGGTTTCCTTTGAAGCTAGAATATAGTTAAAGCATCTCTAAGTAAGTGAAGCAAACAGGAATAGACTACCTTAGGCAGTGGTTTGGCAGGTTTGCAGTGGAATCCTCCAATAAACTCAAAATTTGGTAAGAGTGGATGAGGATACCAAAAATCCCAATAGTTTCGAATGAGCCATATGTCAGCTTTCCCCATGAGCTCAAATAAAGTAGTAGGTTTTCCTGATGGAAAAAGGCAACAAGATGAGATGAGAATATTTTTAATATCTGAATGTCAATATGTTGGGCAATTTTCTGAAAGGTGTTATCATTACAAAATTCAATTACAGGTCTGAGTTTACAATAGTGGTCATATAAGTAGACTGGGGAAAAACCAGAGGAAACAATTGCCTCAATTCTCTATAGAGAATTGTTTGAAATATGGAACTTCTCTTTCTAATGTCTTGTTAGAAGTTCTCATGCCTTTCTAAATGATGAGTAAGAGTGTATTACTTGAATGTATAGGATAAAAAGGTATAATGTAGAAGATATTTTGGCATGAAACTTTATTGTATTTTAAATTAAAGGTCAATGCATATTATTATAAGTTGTCAAAACCCATTAAATGCACGATTCCAGTATATGGGAGTGTGATGTTTAAATGATATGGAATGTAGGATCACCAATTACAACAAATTAACCATTTTTCTTCAAATATTGATGAGAACCTCTACACAGAATGTGTGCAGGAGTTATTTACAAACTCTGAAATCAATATTACCATGAACTTAAAAAATTCTGTATGAAATAAAGTATGTTACTATCACAATGAACAAATTTTGATATGATATTGCAAGAGATACTGTTTGAATTACCTGAATCTTTAAGTTGTCTCCCAATAATCATAGATCACAATGTTCAAAATTATTCTGTAATTTCAGTCTTTGCCATAATAGTTGTGAGATTGAATGATCATTATTATTCATCACTAGATTTTAAAAGATAAATCACTCTAACCATATGGCTATATATAACATTACCTTCCATTGTCCTAGTATAGAGGAGACAGAAGTCTACAAATTTAAAACAAGACTTACCTAGTACTTCACTATAAAGATCATTCCATGGCTTCTCATTTATTGTTTGGTACCAAAAGTCAAAGAAGAGCACATATATCATGTTTTTTACCCTCTCCATGAATGTCATTTTGTCACTTAATTCTGACAAAACAACAGGTACATAGGATGGTGGGAGAGGAAGTTTTCCAGTATGCTTTTCAAATTGATTTCCAGGTGTGAAGCGTAGAGTATACACAAAAGGTACTTTAAGTAACTCTGCCAGCAGCTCACCGCAGGGCCCCACAGCATCTGCGAGAACAAGATCAAATTTTGATTCTTGGAGCTTTGTTATAAGTTTCTTGTTTTTGACTACATCGTTACAGAGCTGTTGAAAAGCATCAAAAAATTTCCAAACAATATCTTGAGATTTTGTAAAGTATTCCCAAAAGGAGTCTTTAGGCAACTCATATGTCCATTCATTCACTATTTGCGTGAACACATCTTCAAACTCAGTTTTAGAGAAAGATGTAGGATAAATTTCAAATTTAATGGCAGATTGTTTGCTATGGTCAACAAGAATGGAAGCTGAAGTTGTCAGAACAACCACTTCGTGACCTCTCTCAACAAGTTCATCCAGGATTGTTTTTGTAGTCATCCAAAGGCTGTATTCTGCAGGCCACACCAGCACCTTCCCACAGCTCCCAGAACTAAAGTAACAGCCGAGGTGAAGCAGCAGAAAAGCTGAAATCCACTTCGCAGACATTCTGGTAAAATGTGCTCTCTTCAAAGTGGCTTTCCGTTATCATTGCTCATGGTTATATCATGGAGAAATAAATCAAAAAGTTAAATTATAACTACCACACCTCAAAGCTAATAGATTGTGTTATCAGGACATTATGTTGCGTGTGGAGAAAGCAAAGGTAGCTGATCTGGCTTGTATACAAACAAGTGACCTTGTTTGGGTTCAGTGTCTGTTTGAAGATTTTAAATAGTATCAGCAGTTGAGAGTTTATGACTTTACAAGTGTAAGTCACTTCTGTTACATGGTTTATTTTCAATGAGTGTCCAGATCAGTGGAAACTGAGAGAGGACCAGGTTGCCATCTGCTGACAGGATAATGGAAGAGCAAACTTTGGTGTTGCTGAGTTCAAATGACTTGGAATCATTGTTTAAGAGCTTGTTTTGCCTGGGTTTATACAAGCTTTCTTAATATTTAATTCATGTGCTATTCACTTGCTGAATTAAAGATGTAGAATTCAGTCTTTCATAGTATAGTCATAGGCTTTTGCAGCTTCTATGATATTAAATTGAGAGAATTTTATCATTCCCAAAAGGAGCCTTTACACTTTGACTGGATCCTTCTAACTTCTCTTTCTGTTCGATCCAAGAAAAAAAAATCTTGTTTTGTCTCTATAAATTTGTGTAATCTACACAATTTCTCTAAATGAAATAATGTAATCTATGTTCTTTAGGTTTGTGAATCTATTTGTTGTAGATCATATACAGTATTACAACCCAATGTTACCTCAAATAAATAAATAATAAAATAAGTAGGTAAATAAATAGATATCACTGGCTTTCAGATGAGTGTTATGTTTTATTTAGTAATTCTTTTTTTTTTAAAAGATTTATTTATTTATTCATATAGAACTGGGGTACAGGCCAGAGATGCAGAGGGTGAGAGGCTTCACGAGAGACAGAGTGGGGAGCAGAACAGGCAGATCAACAAAGTACACTGCTGAGGGGAGCAGCGGGTGGGTCAGGAGAGGTCTGCCTCGCCATGTGGTCACCTCCGGGGCAGGCAGGGATCGAACTCATGCGGAAGTGGCTTAAGCTTCTTAGTGCTGTGCCTTAACCCTCTGCACCACCAGGAGGGCCCCTATTTAGTAATTCTTAACACAGTTGCTTTTACATCAGCCTGTAGTCTTCAGTAAATATTTTATAAAGAGTAGATTCAATGTAGGGTAGGATTATTACAAGTAAAATAATTGAGTATTAAAAATGAAATAATGAATTATAAATGAAATAATTATAATCTTTTACTTAAGTTAACTTACTGGTCTTTGTTGTTAAGCTACAATACTACTTTATATATCCTAGATACAAGTCGTTTAATACTTTATTTGTTGGTTTCATTCACTCTGATAGTATCCTTTTAAGGTCCCAGATTTTTTAATTTGATGAACTCCAACTTACCTATTCTTGTCTCTTGGTGTGTTTTATTGTCATTTCTAAGAAAGTATTGCCTAACTGAAGTCACTAGATTGTACACGTATTTTCTCAAGGAATTTTCATCATTTCAGTTGGTACAGTTACAAATATTTTCCATTTTTTAGTTAACTTTAGGTTGTGGTAAAGCAAAATGTTCAGAATTGTTCTTGCACGTGGACATCCAGGTGCAACCTAGCACAATTTTCTGTAAAGACAAAGAGTACAAGATTTCTCTTTATACTCTTCTTGAATAAAAGAATCCATTATTCCTAAGACTGATTTATACATTCTCAGTATTTAATTGATTTATATATACTGACACTTTTTTTTTTCCACCAGTTATATTCACTGATATGAATTTGGTTTACAACATTGTCATTTTTAGGGGTCATAGATTCAACCATCTTCAAATTATGTTTTCACTATTCCCTCTCCCATAGCTCCAATAATCCTACACCACACTCTGCTGGACTCCCCACTTCTACATTCCCACCCCTCCAGATTTCATGCTGTCTCTGGTGCCCTTTGTGGGCCAAAACACTCTCCCAAGTAGTCGCTGCTCGTTTGGGGCTGCTGTGCCCTCACCTTCCCTTACCTGCTTGGCCTCACTCACAGGGGCAGGCAGGTCTCATTCTTTTTAATGAGCAATACATGGAAACTGTTATTAATTTTTTCGATAGCTTGTTTTTAGTGTGTAAGAACAACAGAATTTGGTATGCTGGTTTTGCCTTAGGCAACTTTATGAAATTCATTAATTTTTTTCCCTGTTTTTTCTGTGAATAAGATCATGCTATCTAAAACTAATGACAGATTTTCTATGATTAAGATCATGTTATTTAAAAATAATGACAAGGCCCTCCCTGGTGGCACAGAGGGTTAAAGCACAGTACTAAGAAGCTAAAGACACTTCCTTATGAGTTCGATTCCTGCCTGCCCCTTGGTGACCACATGGTGTGGCAGACCTCTCCTGACTCGCCCACTGCTCCCCTCAGCAGTGTGCTTTGGCAGTGTGCTTGCTTGGCTCCCCACTCTGTCTGGTGAATCTTCTCAATGCCGCTGCACCTCTGGCCTGCACTCCAGTTCTGTATGCATAAATAAATAAATCTTTAAAAAATATATAACGATAGATTTATTGCCCTCTTCCAACATTGGTGACTTTGCTTTTTTTTTTTTTTTTTTTTGCCTTATTGCTCTGGTATGACTTGCTATAACTTGATTGATGAAAGTGGCAAAAGAGAGCATTCTTTTATTGTTGTTAAAAAAAAAAGTCTTAGTTTTTCACATTGACAATTTACTGCCATAGACCTTAATTATCCTACTTTATTGAGAGCATTTAATCAAGTAGATGTTGAGCAATGTCAAGTAGTTTTTCTGAACCTAATAAGATGATCATATATATTTTTTAAATTTATTAGTTTATGCTTGCAGATCTGGGGTACAGGCCAGAGGTGCAGGATCGGTGAGAGGATTCACCAGAGACAGAGAGGGCAGCAAAACAGGCAGACAGAGGAAGTAGACAGTGGAGGGGCGGAGCAGTGGGGGAGACAGGAGAGGTCTGCCTTGCCTTGTGAGTCAGCTCCCTGGCCAGGGATGAACTGGTGACTAAATAGGCAGCTGCCAGCAGCTTCACAGTGCTGTACTTTAACCCTTTACACCACCAGGCCCAATCATGTGGTATTTATACATCCATTTGTTAATGTGTTGTAATATGTTACTTATTTGTAGATGTTGAGCCATCCTTCATCCCTGGACTAAGTCTGTTGGAACAAGATACTTTTATTTTTTTAAAAGATTTATTTACTTATGCATACAGAACTAGGGTACAGGACAGAGGTGCAGGGGCAGTGAGAGGATTCACCAGAGGCAGGGGGGAGAACAGGCAGAATGACGAAGTACACTGCTGAGGGGAGCAGCGGGCGGGTCAGGAGAGGTCTGCCACGCCATGTGGTCACCTCTGGGGCAGGCGGGGGATCGAACTCATGCTGAAGTGGCTTTAGCTTCTTAGTTCTGTGCTTTCACCTGCTGCGCCACCAGGGAGGGCCCGGATCAAGACACTTTTAATGTAATTTGGTGATATTTTCTTTTTGGGTATTTGCATCTTTTTTCATCAAAAATTTTCCCTGCCATTTTCTCTTTTTGTGGCATCATTATATGATTTTAGTTTCAGGGTCATCCTGGTCTCATGAAAAAAGTTTGAGTAGATCACTTTAATCCTATTTCTTTTTTTGCAATAATTCACCAGTGAAATCACCTACCCTGAACTTTGGATTTTGTGGAGGATTTGTTTGCTTATTCTGTCTTATTACTAATATCAGTAGATTAATTTTTATTATTTGATTATTCATTTTTGGCTGTAGTGTAGTTCTAGAACTTATTCATATTTTCTCAGTTTTCCTCTGATTGGCTGAACTATTCTAAGTAGTGACCCTTGCTCATTTGCACTTTAGTGCTCATGTCTCTTTCATTTCTGATATAAATTTAAGTCTTTTCTCTTACTGTCTTGGTGAGCCTCTCTAATGTACTGTCAGTTTTACTTTTTATAAAGAAACAGTATCAGGTCACAGAGATCTGAAATTGTCTCTAATGTCTATTGAATTCACTTCCTCTCTTAACTTTTGAAGTGTCCTGCCTTATAACTCACATTAAGTTCTCCTCTCCCCCCACTTTTCTAGTTACTTTAGGTGAAATTTAGGCTGTAATGTGAGATTGTTCCTTTTTTGTTGATTTGCCTTTACGTTCTTCTGAAGCTTGTTATCACTGCATCCCATATGTTTTCTTATGCTCTATTTTCTTTTTATGTGTTTCAAGATACAGTGATGCCTTGAATTGCCTTTGTCTTTGGACCAAATGGTCATTAGTAACATTTTCCATCTACTGTGGATTGTCCAGTTTTCCTTTGGTAAAGATCTCCAGTTTTGGCATAGATTTAAAAAACTAGCAACAACAGATATTGGAGATGACATAGTGAAAAGGAACTCTCCTACACTGCTGGTGGGAATGCAAACTGGTCCAACCACTATGGAAAGCTGTATGGAGGTACTCAGATACTAAAATTGGAGCTACCATATGACCCAGCAGTTCCAATCCTAGAAATCTACCCAAAGGACACAATGACATTAATCCAAAATAAAGCCTGTACTCCTATGTTTATTACAGCACTATTATATTGGGAACAATCCAAATGCCCAAAAATAGTTGATTGGATCAAGAGATGTGGTATATATACACAGTGGAATACTATTCAGTAATCAGAAAGGTAAATTAATGCCATTGCCAGCAACTTGCATGAAACTAGAAGGGATTATTTTCAGTGAAATAAGTCAAAAGGAAAAAGAAAAATATCAGATGGTTTCACATATAGGAGGAATATAGGGGAACCAAATAAGGAACCAGGGAAAAAATTTGCAATAAAACAACAAAACAAAACAAAAATAAACAACTATAAGTCAGAGATGTTCTGCTAGGAAGAGGGATCAAAGTAAGGGCAAGGAAATAATTGTGAAGTGAATAAACCCATGTAATTATTACTTTAATACTGAGTTAGGATATCAC